GGAAATCTGGCACTTCACGCTGAACAGCAGCTGTATAAGAGGCAATTTGCACTGACTGCCACTTCCATAAACTTTCTTTTTTATTAAAGCCATGGAAATTCAAGCTTGAAGAAAAAAAAATTAGACTGCATCTGGATATGAAAATACCATCCAATTTTAGTTTTTTGGGCTAACCTATTTAATATTCCTTTAATTCAACTTTTGGCACCTATTACTTTAGCAAGAAGAAAAGCAGGACCTTGCAAACTCCTTTACCCGCTTGATACTTCATGTGTTTCATTGTTGAGAGTGAGGTTAGAAAAGATGTTGCTTCAGACAGTTTTTTGAAGAAGTCCTTGAAGCTTATTAAAATGCATAAATCACCCAATTAAATCAAATCAAGGGAATGTCTGATGGTTTTGCCTGTGATAGATCATCTGCTGGTCAGATACATGTAATTTACGTGGATGTTAAATACAGTCCTACTTCACTATACATAAGCTCAGCGTAATGAATGATACCAATAACTGAAATGGGTCTTTACCTTTGGTATTCTTGGTAGCTGGCGACACAGGGCTGGCTTTGAACCGTGAGGTCTCCTCTGACATTGTGGAATTCTGGGAGCTGGGTCTCTTGGTAGGAGGTCCCACCGCTTCCTGGCGCTCTTTGCTGAACTCGAACTTCCGCTTGCCAGGAGTAGAACCCTGCGCCAATAAGGGAGAATTAACAAACGCACGTTGGTTTCATAAACAGATGAAAACAGATTCTGAATCTGAAGCAATGAGTTTGGCCAGTTGCTTTCCTTTTATGGCCACCAATCTGAAACAGATCAATTTCTTGCGATTCTCAAACACAAACAGCAGGCGCAAGTCAGCTGAGCAGAGAGGCTTCCGGAGCGTCTCTGTTATGTCATCTTCTTGACCGCCATTTTCATTGAAAGACATTAACCGATTTTGTATAAATTGGTACAACTTTCAAATTTGGGATCGCCAGGTTTCTTTTTCTTGAGGATTCCTTTGCGTTTTTAAATGCTAAAAACTATGAAATAGTTCTCCAGTCTGCCGCATCCACAAACAGTGTGCCCTTACAACACACTTGCCTGTCAGCGCCTTTCAGTGTGCTTCTCGTTATACAGTGCCTTACAGATGAGCAAGGGTGAATGGGAGGTGTGATGTATGTCTCACTGACAGCCGCGCAAACTTGACAACATTGCACTGTCACACTGACAGTCCGAGTCATCCAACTCTGCAGCCCAGACTTCACCAGAGGTCTCTTACCAACAGGTATTCCAAGGAAGTACTTTATTCGAGTCAATCGGAGGCCAAATAAAATTTCTGTCTTCTCAAACAAGGAGCAAAAAAGTTGCCCCTCAGCATTTTAAATTCTAAGGTGCAAATTTCAGCTGAGATCAGCAGTAGAGTATACTGCCATATGTGAGGCAAAACACCTGGGGCGTAAATTTAATGATTTACACATTACTTTCTTTCAGGGGTCCAAAGACAACATCTGTTAACAGTGGGAGGTCCGAGACTATGATGGGGTTACCTTCAGGGACGGGGTAGCACCGGGGGAGGTCTTCTCAGCCGGGGCAGGAGAGGACGAGGAGCTCTGGGTCGCACAGCCTGTGGACTGCAGTGCAGCAGCGGCATAACTGAGGGAGGGCTTCTCCTTCTGAGGAGAGGCTGAGCACAAACACAGGAAACAGGACAAGTCCTTTCAGAAAGTACAGTACACAGTGCTATGTCGGGAGGAGCACTATGAACGTAAGACGGCAATCCTACTGCAGGTTATCAGCTTCTGTTGACATTGTATTGCTATTTCTTTTTCTATAGCATTCAACTAATCCTATTGTTTTATTATGTAAGTAGCTGCACTGCACTATGTGAACCGCAGAACCTATTACAGTATACAGTAATTGTGTCATTTTATTTAGTATCCATGTTGCAATGTTTCTCTTCTTATAGTGTCAATATTTCAACATTTTAAGCCAAAATATTTGGTAAACAGGTTGTCAAACCACAATACTGGAATGATTGTTTTCATGCTACCACAAATATTCCATAAATGTCACTGTATATTTGCATAAAACCGGCATAGGATTGAAACATCAGCCCTTAGATATGACAGCAAATTCACGCTGGGCTATTATTGCAAAACAAAAATGTGTCCGGATAAGAGCTAGGTTACTCGTCGGCCCTTTGTCTGATGGATAAGGGTAAGCAAACTCTCACTGTCTGAACAGTGACAGTGTATGTCCTCATGCTGCCTGTGTAACAATGGCTTTCTTGGAATATGAGAAAGAGTCAGTTATGTCATCGATGCCCTATCAGCCAGATTTCAGCACCAATGAACATTTGTGGGAGGAGCTGGGCCCACAAGCAGCATCTAGAAAATAAGGATGCAAATTAAGTCACATTCCTGATTAATAATTAACATTTTTAAAACTAGTCGTGATCACGACAAAACTAGTCAAATTCAAGTTGACAAGAGGTGGCATAAAGCCCTCCCTTAAATAAAAATACTATAGAAAAGAAGACAGGGAAGGCACACTAATCTGCCATCTCAGATGAACTGGCACCTGTTAAACATGCAAGTAAAGACAATTCCAGAGTCTGAACAGTGGAAAGAGGAAAACTGAGAATTCTGAACGGGCTTGGCCGCGTGTGTGTTAGAGCAACTTTGTACAAGTATGTATATTTAGGAAACACGTGAAATCCCTGGTTAAATATTTAGGGAACATCCGAAATCCCGTCTCGTGCTTTTCCTGTAACAGGTGCAAGGGGGTTCAAACGGGACAGGCTTACCAGGGTGAATGAGGGCCACCCTGAATCTGTGGAGAAGAGGAGAACGGAGGCCTACCCTTGACAGGCGTGGATGGTTTGTTAGCCCTGCTGAAGAACAGACTCCCAGGCGTCAGGCTAGAAGAGCTGGGCTCCTCCTCCTTCACTTTGAATTGGCCCAGCTTCGTCACCTTCTAATTAACACAAGAGAACACTCACCCGTGTACCATAGAAAGTGTCCTCGCTAATGGTATCATTGTGTGGTACAGTAATATCACCATGCAAGACAAAGACCCACTACAAAGGGTTGTGGCAACGGCACAAAGGATTATAGGATGGGATTTACCATCATCCATCATTCAGGAACCCAACAATCTTGGCCACAAACTGTTTCCCCCCCTGCACTCTGGCAAGCAGTACCGCACTATTAAAGCACGGAGCAGTAGACTCAAGAACAGCTTCTATCCTACTGCAGTACGCATCCTCAACAGCCAACAGCAATGGCTCAGACTCAATACACATCTGGTCTACCATGTTTTTCTTTCTCCTCACTTATACATATTTATTGTCCTGTTATCATTTATTATGTTTGTAATATACTACCTATGTTGTGTGGTGTTGTCTGTTGTACTGTGTATGTCCCAAGAGATCAACGTGAATAAGAATTCCAATGTACATGAATGTATGGCAATATAGTCTTGTATTTACCCATCTACAATTGTAAAGAATAACAAAAAAAGGTTTTTCACTTCTGTTTCTACTACGCATGACCTTTACCCCAGACCTAGACCGAACAACTCACCACTGGACTGATACCGAAAGTGTGTTCAAGAAATATTAAAGTTCAGAGTCACTGAGTGCTGGCCAGGCTGGGATTGCGATTACAAGCACTGAAAGATTTCAGGTGCAATAGATCATTTAGCTCTTCATGGTCTTCACACATTACAGTATATCCTAATTTGGTACTATTTCCCAGCACCTTGTAATGATATCCCAGTTTCATGGGAAAATAAATTATAGGACATCGATTTCTATATACCACTTCTCATAAAAAATAATTGCCTGAAACATTGAGCCAGAATGGATAATTAAGTATGAACACAAAAACTGAAAAAAAAAACCCCATCAAAACAGATGTACAAGTAATTGCGACACAATTATATCTTTTTCACGAGAATCTTTTACACTGTTCTGAAAGTCGTAAAGATGCGACAAAACTCCCACTCCTACAGAGGGCATCAGTGCAAGCTTGCGTTGCTCTCAGTAGAAGGTAGAAAATCAGTGCAAGTGCACCATTTAGTGGTAAAATAACAACATAGCAAGCTGACAGGCCTAAAAAAGATTGCGATTCCAAGAGCTCATATAAGAATTAAAGAAACAGTAGGAGGTAACTCAACCCCATTTCACCTATTGTCCATCAGAAATTCATTTCTATTTTGTTTCCAACTATGACCTCATTTATTTTGCCAAGCCAGAAATAGTAGCATCGATATCAATAGCTGTTAGGATTTCATATACTTTGATCAAATCACCTCTAAAAGTCCTTTGCTTTAGACCAAACACATTAAGTTGCCTTTACTGTATATAAGGACATTCCCTTCAGACCTGGAATCAATCTTGCAGCTCATCTTTGAAATCAGCTGGTAATGATGACTAAACCTGAATACAATTTTATGAGGGATTCATAATTTGTGTTGTGAATTCGGAGCACAATTGGATTTAAATTCCACACGTTTTGCTATACACCTGAACTTGCCCAGTTCATTATCTTGTCTCAAGTCTTAAACATGGAGCATTAGCTGATCATTTTTACAATTTTTCATCTTCTTTTGTTAATTCTCTATTCTTTCAGAAACCATTTGCTTCAGTGTTTTATATTGCTGCATCTGCTGGAAAATTTCTTTCTGTTGTTATTTTCCTCCATTGCAACCAACTTTATACCCTTTCCAATCGAATTACTTCTCCTTGCACCAAAACACAAGCAGTCTTATAAGGTTTTCACCCATTCCTACCCTGCGCCTAGGAAAAAAAAAAGATTAAAACAGACAAATATTAAATTAGATAAAAAAGGGATTGATTTTTGAAACAAAGAGCGGGATGTGTAATGAGGACCCCATGTAATCTGAGCAAGCAGTTCCTCAATTAAGTATGAAAAAGCAAGACAAACAAGCAACAGGGAAACATTCAGCAGAGTTAGACTATGCAGTATATTGTCTAATAACTACAAAAACAAAAAGTTAAACACCTTCAGGTACATTTCAGGTGAAATAAGAGGAAAAAGATCCATCACGAATTTGCTTTTACCAGTCGGGTTACTTACTGGAGGTGTAGTCTCGGTTTCACCAGCTTCAGGAGGAGAATGAAACTTTATGAAGGACACCCCATAGGCAATATTCTGAAAGAAACAGCGAAATCAATAACAACGAAAGGGAATTCTTTCCATATCTGGAAATATTTAAGATTTCCAATTTTGTTTTAATTCTTATTATCTGGTGTCCCTGTAACCCAATTTATAAGTACCAGCTGGTTTTAAAATTCCAGTTCATTGCAGGAACTCAAACACCTGACATCACTGGAGGTCACAGGACTGGCTGTTTACCAGATAGTAGCCCTGTATGCCTAACCCCTGCCTCAAACTAGTCATATGCAGATCTGACCGTCAAGCTCAGGCCTGAACAAGAGTCTTTATTGTGAGGTCATTTGGTCTGCAAATTAAAATTGCAGAAACATAGTTGCTCTTAACCTCTTGTCCTGATCAAACAACAGAAGGATTTGTCTTATTTGTAAATGGGACACAGTGCAGATTGCATTGACCAGCTGTTTCAGAGTCTAAGATTTTTTAGTTGCTTCTAATAAAGCAGCATCCAAGTTTCTGTAGAAAAGTAATATAATTTGTCTCCATGCTTGCAAGTACTTGCATGAGGGAGTTTGATGAAGTCACATGCAGTGCTCAGATTTGCCACTGACTGCAACCCAATAACCAACAGCTGATAGTGAAGTCCAGCAGCAGAACATTTATTGTTCTTGACATTTTTTCCTAGAAATTACGTTTATTTTGTGATAGAGAATGGTTTTATACGTTATTGTGTACATTTTGCTTTCATTGTGTTCCGAAATGCGTCTTTCTAACCCTGAAATATCAAAATAGAATGGCAGTTCCCCTTTAATACACGTTTAACAGAGCTAAAAAGTAACAATTGTTAGGAGATACATAACACAGACAGTGAGCACATGAGCAGACAACACTTTTGCAGACACTGCCAGCAGTCCTTGCTCACCTTGTTGTATGGTTGGGTACAGATGATCTTCACCCTGTCCCATTTCTGCTCAGCGGTGGCCTTCACCAGCTTGTCTGACCCAAACATTCTGACCCGGTTCAGATTGGTGTTGCCACGGCTCTCCGAGGGAGACATGAATGACGAGGTGACCAGGATTACCTGCAGGGTTCAGACAGTCGAGGCCAGAGGGATGAGGGGCAGGAACAAGCCATGCCAAAACAGTGCACACAACGTTTCCTTTCTTCTCTTTTCAGCGTGGAATAAACCTTTACTTATTCCTTTGCAGCCTACGGATGCTGACGCAGCTACCTACTTGAACCAATACAGTGCACTGCACCTCTGCATCTAAACATTACTTTCTGTCCAGTTTTGCTGTAAGATTGAATGTGTGAGGCAACCATTCATTCTAACTGATCTTAACATCAGCTTTTATCTGATCTGTGAATCAGATAGCAAAACTGCTCAGCAGTTTGATTTACATGATTTACTGCATGAGGCCTGTACAAACTGCACCACTGAAGCAGGAAAGAAAAATATTTCATGCTAAAGTGTGCAATGGTAAATCTACCTGGTTCTCACTTCTGCACAAGAGCTCCTAAAATCTACCAAGTTAGAATAATGCCTGTGCTACAGAGTATGTAAAAAGTCCTTTCCGCCCTAAATCTAGGCTTTCTGTAGACCTCCCTGATAAACATCATCAAATGCAATTCACACCTGCAGAATGATACGCTAACTGCTGTGTACAACAAACCAATAGATCGTGAGGTCTGATTCTGCTGGCCGTGACAGGAGTGTCCAGTTTCTACAGAACTCTGCTTGTTATGTGATTAATGGGCACTTGATTACATAGAGCTACACTGATCATGATCATGGGGTCCACGTGATGACCTTCCTGTGTTTAATAGGAACTTGACTGCACACAGCTACACTGATCAATTTCAGGGAGTGCACATGATGACCTGTCTATGAGCTTATCTTGCCTTATCTTCATGCTCCTTGTGTGACAACTGCTTTGTATGTGAGGATACAATGTGACTATTATGCTATGCATACCCTACTAACAGGCCTGGTTTAGTTACAAACAGAAAATAGGTTACTAGTGAGAAAAGGAAATGTCTGCAAAGATTGTTTGAAAGCTTGTTGCGGACAAAGTGTCGGACAATATTCCAGGAATTACAAGTTATATGCTCCTGCAGCTCATATATCTGCCTTTGTGGGAGATGTGAATGTTACAGTTATGTCAATTGAGCCACACTGAACATTTGTGGGACAAGATGGAACAACAGGTATGCTTTAGGGCTCAGAGGGACGGATGAACCGGTACATGTGTTCTGGATCTTTGAGAGGAATAGGACAGAATCCCATTATAAAGCATGTGCAACCTATTGTTGTCATGGTCTTAAATCATACACTGTAATTACGTTGGGGTATTGCAATCCTCTTCGCAATGGAAGATCTAGCCTGGAGGTAGACACCACTGTGCAAATGTCTCAGGATCTCTATCCATGATCTGGGGGTGTTCCTACTGACTGCTCAATACACATCCTGCTCACCTCATAGTCCTGGTCTTTCACTGAAGTGGAGTTCCCCACCAGCACCTCAATAAAAGCTGAGCCTTCATTACCAATGTCAATGCTGTGGATCTGCTCTGCCTTCTCAAACTGCATGGACAGAAAAACAAAACTTGTGTGACTGGGATATTGCAATAAGCTGTCTTTTCAGGCTTGTTATACACTTTACATGATGACATTTTTGGTAAGTTATATTAGCGCTACGAGAATAATAATTTCTACAGCTGTTTAAATGTTGATTTCAAGCAATCCACACCCAGACACATTTTTAACCTTTGCAAATAAGTAGTACTCCAGACCCATTTTAAAAATGGTAAATGTAGTGTTATGTAAACCGACTGATAACATCACTTGGAGATTTAGGAGAAACACCAAACAGATTTGAATCCACTGCATGTGTTTCCACCATTGCAAATAACATCAGCTTGCATCCTGATCAAGCTGCTGTAGTGGGAATTTTAATTGGATCTCTGTCCACACTTTGTTTCTTTGTTTAATAGAACATTTTACATGAATCAAAACATTCTGGGGCATTTATTTATTCCATGTCTGAAACTGAAGACTATCATTCCCAAACTTATTACGATCCTGGAGACAAACTTGCAAAGTTTTCATTCCCATGTGCCTATAGAGAAGAAGAATAGCTTTTTCTTACCTGTAAAATGACGGAGATCTGTTTCTCTCCCAGCCTGGCTGCTTTCCATTTCCTGTATGTGTCGGGTTTCAGCAGATTCTCTGCCTTGTGCGTCTGGAAGCGAAATTTGAAAGTGACAAATGGGTCAGGCAGGCTGACATCCAAACGGGCTCGGGCTCACCACACACTCTAGCGATTCTTGACAATTTTGCGAATACACACGTCTGTGATGTAGTTTGGAATGGCAGCACAAGTGATACATGACACAACAGACATGCAATCTCACTGATAAAGTCCAATGGCAGTCAGAAACACTTATTCTGAATGGGGTATGTGCATAAGCAAAGAGAGAGAAAATATTCCAACACAGTTAACAATTTATTATTAGTTCAGACCTATTAGAATACAAGGAAAATATTAAATTAAAAATATTCAAGTAACTAACAAGAAGACCAAGATTCATGTAAAGACACAAATAGTTACAGTAGTAAGAAGAAACACCCTTTTTTCAAATTTCAGAAATCACACAGTCCCACTTACAGACAACAGGGAAACAGTGCAACCAAAGAATGTGAAAATGTAAATGTGAAAATTTAAAGTGGCTTCTTAAAATTCAGTGTGCTTATGTCCTGGCAAACACTCCAGATCCGATTTGAGTGCAGAAACAAGTTAGATAAAATTGTAAAGATGTAAACTGATCAATTAAAGCACTCAATTAGCACCGCAGATCTAGACAGAAAGAAACAGCATTTGCTAAAAACTGTACCCCTCAGTGACTTGCGTTAAGCAGGAGAACCTTAAAGCTCACTAAACATTTCACACATGCAAGGAATTACAGTATACTGAGGAAAAACAGAACCTTATCAATGATATTACGTTTAAAAAATACGTTTTACTACAATGCAACAGGGTTTCGGTGTGTTAGAGTGAAACAGAACCGATTCTTCTTGTAAGCGAAACTGCATTAAAGGACACATATCAACAACGTGAACATCCAAGCATCCAATCCACTCATAGTTTAGTTCACCTGAATACGAACATAAGACATGTAAAAACATAACTTTATTCTATTGCTTACCTATTATTTACAGTTTGCAAATATCATAAGTTCTGTAAAGGAAACGTGTCTTGAGAATTATTAAAACAGTATATTGCATAATACATATAGCACTCTTACACAGTATATCAGATATGCGTACGCGTCTCTTTATTTGTCAAAGTCGGGAGGCTTCACAACCACACAAAAGTTTACTTACACTGTCCTCGCTGCTGCAGGAGACAACGTGTTGCAATTTAATCTCCGGCATAGTTTAGAAAATAGCTATAAAGTTGAATTGTCGTTGGGGGTTAAATAAATACGCATTTGCTGAAGTGAGCAAACGAAAATCATAAAACGCGTGTTGCGGACATATTGCACACGATTGGTTTATGGAAAAATAACAATCGGTAAATGAATTTTAAGTGCGTTAGGAAAAGTGCACCTATTCACCTACTGCACAGCACTCATTAGACAGGCCATCCGACATACAGTACAATGACCACCTCTCTTTATCCTGGATTTTAACTTGTGTCAGGCGTTAAAAAGTCTGGAAGAGGTTGTGAGTTTTACTTTCTCCTACAATAGTGTTTGGTTACAAAAACGCCAAAAAATGTCCGATAACGAGTTCTACTGTTACTTTTATTCAATAAAAATCCTTCCCATTTCCAACATCTCCTTCCAGCTCAGTTCCCTCTTCTTGCTGGCGCTCCTTTCTGTTGTCAATTGTGAGAACCAACCAGAAACTATTTCCGGGTCAAACCAGGCAAAGCCAGCACCAGCCGCCATCTTTACGGTGGTCGTGTTGAACTGTGGCACATTAGATCATTTACATGCGTTGCTCTCAATTAGAAGCTAATGGAGATGGCTATGAATATGGTGACTTTGTTAAAAAAAAAATATGACATTGAATGCAACCCAAAGCAATTCAAAGAAATTATTGAGGCAATTCCACCTGCTCTCCTAGCTTTGGTAAAAAAAAACGTCCCTATCCATAGAAATATAATTCCTCTACTACCAGAGATCAAAATTGGAACTTATAATATATTGGAAAAAAAAGTGCAATAATAAATACATCTGTACTATTATGGCTGAGAGATTCTTCCCAGCCATCAAGAATAGATTATTAGAACTGAATGCATTACTCTCTCCACGCCACCAAAAACCAAGGATATTCATTTTAAAATACCGAATAACATATACTGTATACCTCTAAGGAATTTCTGAGAATTCCTCAGAAATTACATTTTTTTTCCTCATGTCACCATTGAACAACTTTCTGGCACTCTGTTTGTTCTTGGCTATACAACAGTAATATCTGTGTACATTTAACTTTTAAAGATATTGTTCTCTGTGTCTCGAATCCAAGCAAAGAAGTCCGTTTAACGGTTAATGTTATTCTCTTGTTTGCAAAATTTCACATACACATGTGTAGAGTAAAAAAGAATCCTATAAGCTTTAAAGAATTTCCTTACTCATTCAAGCTATACTCTAATTTACTGAAAATATTTTAAAATAAGCATGGTGAGTTGGTCTACAAAAGTCTTTTAGCATATAAACTTATGTAATGTAACCTCTAACACCACATAACCTCTGTACTATGGACAAGATGGTTTCTTTTTTTTGTTTTACTTTTTTTTGTGTGGTTGTTTTTTTTTCTTTTTTCCTCCTGTTTCATTCACTTGTTGCTACCTTGTTTGTCATGTTGAGACATCTGTATATTTACATGTATGTACCCCTGTTTGTTGTATTTTCCCTTTTTGCATTTAAATCTATATATATATTTTAATTTACATGCATTGAAGCACTGGATGTTTTCGTTAAATAAAATGACGCATTTATTTTCTTGTGCTGGTCACCACATTAAGCTGGTCTTTGTTGTTTTAGCTGAAATGCTCTGGGAGAGATGGTTCTTTATTCTTACAGGAAGGTAATAAGCAAAAGGCCAAAACCTTCAAAGCAGGATTGCATTGATATAGTTTTGTGCATTTTGATAAAGTAGAACAACCAAAAGCTTACACAGCATGCAATGGAAGAATTACTTAAAAGCAAATGGAAGGAGGGTTTTTAATTATTAGTCTTCTTATTGCAAATGTAAATGGAACCTAATTCAAAATTATTTTTGGATGCACACGTACCCTACATTTAGGCCACAGAAGGGAATCTGTACAATCAAGATTTATAATCAATTCAAAGAAAATGAAAATAATCACAAATGGAGGCTACCTCAGGACCCGCTGACATGTAACCAATTTCTTACAATAAATTATTGTGACTGATGATCATTATTTTTTTCCTAAATGTAATATAACTTTTTTTTACTTTTAATTTAACAAAAAAACCCTGCCTCACACAAGTAACCAGTCACTGTAATGTATAACTCTTCAATAGCAACTTTTCCCAACAGTGTTAAAATAGGTACCTATAGAAGACGTTGGAAGTGTCTTTGCAGCCTCTGTCTGAATTAAGAGTAAATAGTAAAGAGCCACAAGAGGCCGCCAGAGACCACCGAATAGGAGCAGAAGCTGAAGTAAGCAGCAAGTGAGTTTTTGTTTTTAAATCTGTGAATCTCATAGAGACAAAGTGTAGAAGCTATTCGAGAAAATGTAAAGATTAACTGGAGGACATTAGGAGGTTTAACAATAACCTTCTGATCCAGAGTTTAGCAAAAAGTTACTCAGTTACTCATAACACAAAGCTACTCAGGCCATTCTACCTAATAACTGGGAATCTTGCAAACATAGTGGACCGTAAAGTTT